CGCCCCGCCCCGCCCCGCCCCCGCCCCCCCGCCCCGCCCCGCCCCGCCCCCGACCCCGCCCTGCCCTGCCCCGCCCGTCCCGCCTCCGCCCCCTCGCCGCCGCCGGCCCCGCCTCGCCCCATGCCGCCCGCCGGAGGGGCCGCTTTCGTGCCCCTCGCGGTCGCGTGGCTTAGGTCGCTGTGCGCGATTTGCTCTGGAACAGCGGTCACTTCAGCTGACATAAATTATTTTTTGGCAATAGTATTTCTATTTTATGAAAACATCAAAATCTGCTGTACTTCGCATACCTCCTGTACTCGGATGTATGTTCTTCCTGCTTGGGTCACCTACTCATTCGTAGTGCACTACGTATGTCGTAAATCATAATTTTTGTGATATATATTGATACGATCAAAGTACTATCCTAGTAAACATTTGGAAAAGAAAGAAAGAGAAAGTAAAATGGTAGGTTGCCTGCATGAAAATAACAAAATTACAAATTCTATGCATGCTTGAATTAGTTTGCAAGATTGAATTAGTGACTTAATTTTCAAGTCTGTGGAGTGTAGGGTGCTTCGAACGTAAAAGATGCATTATATCTGTACATGAATAATTACACATAAAATTCTTGTTCAGTTAATTAGTTGACACTTTAGTTTCGTAATGCGAATGCGAATGATTATCTGTGCTGTATTATTTCCAACATAATGTTATTATGTAGATGTTGAGGTACTATCTAGACATAAAAGATTATGTTTCATTTTTAAGTTCAATTTTTACTTGTAAAGCGTGCGTTGCCAACATGTTTTATAATTAACATAATAACGAGGGTGGGGGTGGGGCGGGGGCGCGCGACAAGGTGCGCGGGCTCCGCCGCCGCAGGGGTGCGACTCATAAATCCCGCACTTAACCTCGCCCCCTCGCGCTGGTCGGCCGACCGCGGCAGCAGTTAAAGAGCGTTTAGCGGCTGCGTTGGAGGTGGCGGAGATGCTCGGGGGTGGCGAGGGGGAGGCGGAGATGGACGAGGTGGTGGGCATAGACATGATAGAGGGGTAGCGGGCAGAGCAATGGGGCAACCATAATGAAGGTCATCAAACATCGACGGCAGAATCGACTGAAAGTAAAACATACTATAGACAGATTATTTTACCGTTGGTCATTTTTTTATGTGCGGAAGAAGCTCGTTTTTAAGCAGCGGAATAGTGGTAATGACCAAGAGTGGTCAATCTTTTAAATACCATGCGACAACATTTTTTTAACGTATGTGTTCAAATGTGTACCTTTCTAACGCTTTTTAACAACACAACTCAAGCACCTGTTCTAATCATCTTACCGCCAAGCTTAAGGATAGATTCGCTTAGGGGAGGTACAGGGGTAATTCAGTCACGCATAGAAATGAGTTAATGCACGCCAGGACCGAAGTCACAAGTTTCTTCCCCAATCTTCAGTACGATGATCTCTTGGACGAAAGAGTGATCGCTGATAGTTCTGGACCTAACAGAGAGAAGTTGAAGAACGAAACTTTGCCAACAAAGGTGTTAAGTGTTAGACTGCTTAGATCGAATGAAACAGCGAAGCGAAATCAGCTTGGAACTTCGAAGTCGCCGTATCTCTCTGTTCGCTATATTCGTGCTGTTCGCAAGACTAGCATGTACTGAATAACCTTTTTCGATATATTTCATTTTACACCTATTTCAGTGCACACAACTTGGCACACAACAGTGCACATGGTCATTCTTAGTGTCAAATATGGTTGGTAGTGCATGGTTGTTGAGGAAGAAGGTACTATTGTATATACGAAATTCTTGAGATCCCGTGGTAATAGCCTACTATTTTTAATCGTGGTTCCGGTGTCCTTAGTGGCGCTGGCGTCTGGACGGCGCGGCGTCGGCGGTGGCTGTGTAAATAAGGGCAGGGAGGGGCGATGGCTTCAGTGGGAGGGGGAAGGGGCGCCGGCTCCCGCCGCGGCGCGCCGTGTCGTCCCAGGCGACCGGCCGTTTTTCGGGGGCCGAGGCCTTGTTAGCTCGCTGACCACATAACTCGCGGCTAATTGTGTGCCGCCGCCACCGCCCGTGGCCTCCCGCCAACGCCCCCGCCCTCCCGCGCCCGTCCGGCGACTAAGCGCTTTCGGCATTGTGCCGTGCAAAGGGGCCCTGCATTCCTCTGCTCTCCAGGAACAGGAATCGGAAATACATGTATTCCTTTTATGGTTGACATTATAAAGAGACGATATGTGTATATAAGAAGGACAAAGGCGATTGAAGGTATTGAACATGAGATGACAGAAGAATATATACTTACTTCAGCTAGGAAATGGTTTTCACGATTTATTTACTCAATTATGTATTAATTTGACTGAATTAGTCTTCAAATATCACTCATATGTTCTCATGAACCAAGTAGAAATTTACACTTACTAAATTTCTTATTGATGCGAAAGAACTGAAAATCTGCAAATAGTATTTCGGATCCATGCGAATGTAATTATATTTTCATACCCGAAGGAAAAAATTGGAAAGGAAAATTCACTATCATTGTCTTTCATACTTCTTTTCGATCACAATAATGTTTAAATATATATTTTTGAAAATTCTGAAAATTCTGTAAATTCTCTTTTGAATTTAACACATCTTAAATCGTTGGTTTGTCTCCTTGTTTGTGTTTCTTGGAGAACTTATTGAAGAATCCACACACACACACACGCTTTAGTTCACACCCTAACCGAAATGTATTTGTAGGTAGTTCCACCCAGTCAAGGGCTCCTTAAGTCACTTTCCAAGGAAATGCGCGGCGTCTGAAGAGCGCTAACAACCGATTGTCCGCCCGTGGAAAGGTGCGCGAATGTCGGCGGCGGCGGAGGCAGCAGAAGGCCTTGGTGGAGCTGGCGCCGTAGGGGGCCGTGGCGCCCCCGCGGTGTTGTTGGGCAACAGCCCCAACGCGTCTTCACACGTCGGCACGCGGCATCCCTGCCCCCGCCTCCCACCTTCGCAGATGTCCACTGAAACGGACGCGTCGAATGTCCTCGCAGCTGTCTCCCAATGGTTTCTTTTGTCGTAACCTACAAGGAAAATAGCGGGAGTTGATCTGAGAAGATTGAAAAGGAGGCTGGTAAGAAGTTGTAGGCGCAACGCAGAACGGAGTAAAGATGGTGTGAAGAAACAAACGTAGTTTCGACACAAGGATGCGAGGGGCAAAAGTACAAAAAGCAATCCATAGTGCAGATCACAGATTTAGACTTCAATATACATAAAATAAACTCAAAGTAGTAAGAGGATGTCGAAAGAATAAGAAAATATGAAAAAGTAAGAGTGTGAGAAACAAAAGTGTTTATAAGAAGAAGTGTACAGTTCACTCTATTGGAAAAAACAGAATTATGGAAATCAATGTGTCTTCCATGTTTTGTTTGAAATTATTTATTAACAGTAGACGTATTAATTATATTAAAATGTTTACGTTAATTTAATTAATATAAAACATTTTAACACTTTATTAACTTCGAAGTTATGTGTACAGTATAAAAAGGTTTATTTAGTTAGTAATACTCCTAGAATTGTTTTGCTTTACAAAAGAATAGGTTTTACGTCCAGCATTTTTGAGTAATTTGTATTTTAAGTCAATGCCATCTTCCTACATTCATTGTCTTTTTTAAAGCTTATTTTATTTTTATTGTGATTGATTTACAAAGATTTGATTGATTTACAAAGTTCAGTTCACATTTAACTCTTAATTTGAAATGTTAGCTTAAATCTAATTACTTATAAACTAAATCCAATCTAAACTACAATTGAAGAGGGGACTCACCGAACAAATATCATTAATATTGGCAAAAATGTTAGAAAAGAATTGATAGGATGTGTATTTTTTTCTAGTTTGGTTTTCATTAAATTTTCCTATGTTAATGTGTCTATCTTATTTAATAAGTGCTACGTTAGAATATAAATTATTGGTAAGAAAGGAAATGTGGTGTGCAATGGATTTTAGGTTAAGTTCGTGGTGTAATTGTTTATAGGAAATGAACTAGGAGGCTAGGGTGAGAGTTCTTAGGTATTTGTTTTGAATTATCTGAATTTTTTTGATGTTATATTTGGCCGCGTATGTCCAAATTGGACAAGCGTACAGGAAAAGAGGTCTTATGATGGTTTTATATAATGTGATGTCAATATTTAGTGAAAGTTTACTGTTAGTTTTTTGTATTATTTTGGATTTGGCTAGTACTTTAGTATCTATGTATATTTTTCTGTTAAGGGTTGAGTCCGTGTGAAAGGCAAGGAATTTAATGGCATTGTTATGAGGAGTACAAGGGATTGTGTTGTTTTTTCATTTTAAACGGAATAGGGAAGGAATATGGTCTGAAAGTGAAGACTTTGACTGTGGATTTTCAGGGGTTTTTGATTTTCCATTTCGTGGCCCATGTTTCTATTTTATTCAAATGAGAGTGGATTTCGTTAGCTATAATTAAGAGAAGAGTAGGTCATATCGATAACGGTGTCATCTGCAAATTGGGCTATGTTAGTTAATCTTAATCTACGCATATCGGCTGTGTACAAGTTATTTAGTAATGGTGAGAGAGGTGTCCTTCGAGGTAGACCGGCTGTGATTGGGTGGGGGTTCCAATTTTGATTTTCTGTAACCGAGAAAGTTCCATTGGTGAGAGAGGTTTTAATTATTTTGAAGATGTATGTAGTGGTGCCTATTGATATGAGTTTAAAAATTAAGCTTCATGCCACACCATGAAGTCCATAAAAACTGCTGAATATTGGTTGATTGTTGTTTTTTTGTTGTTGTTGGTTTTTTTTTTTTTAAGAAGGAGTGGAGATGTTCTGAAATTCGCAAAAGTTGATGTGCTATAGATAGTTTATTAGTGAATTCGAATTGGTAGAATGGTATGAGGTGTATTTTTAAAGGTAATTTTTTAATCTATTTTCACTGTACGGGCCAAAGTTCTATGTCAAAAGTGAGAGTAATTATCTCAGGTCTCAATATCTAAAAATACTGAAAACGAAATACAAATTAATGCTAAATGGATGAATCATAACGAAAATCACAAATTCTAAAATGTAGCCTCAAGGCTTGTTGTCCAGTGTGCATTTCTATCATATTACTTATTGTCGGTCTTTATTCGTTCATTTTTGCTTAACCCATTTGAAACCATACGAATGAGACTTCAAACCAACTTTCTGTATCCTGCGTTCAGTACCTCTTTGCCATGGTCTTTCTTTTTTCGTTTTGTGTTGTTTTACATTGAATGACGTAGCAAAATGAAATTTCTTTAAAGAGAAACTCTTTTTGAATTTCATTCGTCATGGGCAAATGAAAAGAACTCCATGTGCAAGATAGAATGCAGAAGGAAGTTCGGAATCACGAAGTGAGTCTTCAGTGATATATGCCACTCAAAACGCACGGGAGAGACTAATATGAGGGGTAATTTTCTCATCACGCTGTCTAGTGGCGTCAAACACTTAAATGGGACAAGCTACTATTGTATTATCTTAACAATAAGAAAACGTCCAATTCTGTCATACATATCACTGAATGCACATTATTCTTGTACGGAGAGAATGTACGTTATTTTACGTTAGCCAACTGTAACAATACATTCACTTTACGGCGGGAAGCATGTCGGCTTGAATGGATATTACAGAATGCAACTTACGAAAATTGCGGTAATATGTCTATCTAGGAAGAAGAATGAATAAAGCTCTCACTTGTTACAAGTTTACGATGTTTCAACGCACTCCTCATGACTCGCGAAGTGAAAATTGCGATTCCCCACATTGATGGTTTGCGAAGGGGGAAATGTCAACAAAAGAAAATCCCACAAAGTTGCAATGCAGATTTTGCATGCAGATATTACAGGATTTTAATTCAAAAATAGAAAATAAAAATATGAAATATTATTATTTATTCCCGCGAATTGAAACAATACGCATCCAATAATTAAAATTATTCAAACAATGCAATTTTTTATCATATAGTTCCATACTCATTTCAAAATGTCTGATTTCAAAAGAAAAACATAAGAATTCTTTTTATCCTTATACGATTGCAACTTAGTCAACAGATATTAAATAATACAAATGAATGCTTGCAGTGGTGCAGTGCTTGCTGCAAAAGGTGCAGTGCTTGCTGGAAATAAAACAAATCAGGAGGTTGTATGAAATCGTTTACTTGACAAAAGCAAGTCACTTTAATCTTACTGTCATTGAGAAATGAGCACACGGTTTTTGCTTACTATTATGGAAGATTGTGTAAGCACACATTCTTAAGAAAAAACTTTTCTAAGATTTTGAGTACTATTTTTAGATACAAATCGGTTTCTACTGTTCTTAATAGACTGCGCACTGTTAACATTATTAACGACTTGTGGCCGTTAAGATGTCGTTTTTCGTTCCTTTGAATGCATTAAGTCGTTATTACTAGAGCTGGAAAATTTATGCAAGCTTTTAGTCCCGATATATGCGTGCAAATATTCCACAAAAATATACAAAGAAATTATTAAAATCTGCAGTGTTTGGTCACAAAAACCCTATTTTACAAGAACATTACATATGTTTGCCACTTAGAGACAGGGAATATGCATATTAGAAACAGATTAGTATCTCCTTTCCCAGAAAGCCAAAAGAAATTTATTAAGGTTATCTGTTGGTAGGGAGTGTCTCTTAACAGAAAATACACTTTTGTACATAGAAAATTATATTTTGACGTCACATGATGGTATGGGAGACAATGTTTGTTCTCAACACATTGACCGGAAGAAAAAACACAATTTTCTTCCAAGAACTTGCCCATTGTAAAGTATGAAGCCCTAGATTTTTTTTCAAAAACTTCATTTGTTTTCATCCTATTTGTTTTTCCCGTTTCACCTGGAGCTATGACGAATTTATCCCTTGCCACCTGAATAATTACAAGTGCATTTACTAAGCTTTTTCTTGAATTCTTTGACTTCTGTATAAACTGATTCCAGCTGATGTACTTCGCTGTCATTGTACTAATGTATCTGAAGTTACAAGAAAGTTAATGCTTTCCATTACGCGGAAATTCAAATGTTCGTGTTATTTTAGGTTAAAAGTCGACAAATATACAAAACCTTTAATTTATGTGACAAAAATCTTTGAATTTGCTAAATATGTGAAATATGCAAAACATTCCTTACATTATTTTTAATATTTTGCCATGAAACATACACATTTGAAGTTTCAAAAAACATGACCATTAACAAAAACCATGCATTTGCATGAACTTGCCAGCTCTAGTCATAAGTTGTATTATGATTTTTTTTCATTTCTTCTTGATCATTTATTATCCCAGGAAAAAATTCTAGAATACTCAAAAGAGAGTCTCGTCAGTAGTGTTTTAACTTCTAACTGTACTATCTTACAGTCAGTGGGTAAAAATATAACCATTTTCTTTAATACGATGAATATTTTCACTCTACCCGTACTGCTTCTCATCTCTATCCCAGATACCATCAAAGCTCGGATGACGGCAAATCATTGCAAATTATCTCTTTACGGTACGTAAATTTAGTCGCTTCCTGTCATCTAAACGTAAGAATGAACCTTGTGAATGTACAGACATTATCAACATTATTATTCAATATCCAGTCATTATCTCATATTCCATCATATTTGAATCTTCTTCAGGAAGTGTCTTTATCTTCTAGCACTCTTCTAACAGAAAGTCTATCACCACACTTAAGTTTTAGAACCCAACAAGAGGAGCACATGAGCGTCTGGGCAGTCGCCGGTCTCTTTCATGTCACAATCGTCCCACTTATCACCCTCCGCACGATGGCGAGTTCGGCTGCCTTATCGATCACCAGTGACACGCCCACCTGCCTTCCCGACATTGCGCAGGCGGTAATCCAGCGTTCCCCTCTCCGTCGCCCCGAAATAGCCATCTTAAAGACTCTCGTCTGAGGGACTAAAATGGAAAACATCTGGCGGATCCTTCTCCCCGGAAGAGACCGCTGAGTGCGCCCTGCAGCCAGAAGACCGGGTCGCCTTTGCCAGCACCCTGCGGCAGAGTAGGTGTGAGGACAGTGGCAAAAGGGGACACATGCCTTCTAGGGCACGTGCTCACGCTCGCAGAAGTCGTTGTAACAGCACTTGTAGAGCGCGCTCTGTCATTAGATTCACGAGTAAAATGAAATGTAAATAACAGAACGGATAATTTTAAATTATTATACACTTCCTCATTCTGCGCGGGCTTCTATGTAATCAAAAACACATCCATGAACATGACAACAACCATTCTTACCCAGTGAGCAATAAATTCACGATCAGTGAGCCCACGCATTTGCGCAGAGTCTCTGAGGTGGTGTACACTATCTCAGCTACCCGGATTTACAGAACATAATGACTAATGATTGTTAATGACTAAAGATTTTTGAATAAACAAGTATTTCTATCAGAAACGTGCATAAAGCTATGATCTCAAAGTTTTTTTTTTCATTTAGTTCATTTATTTCATTTCTTTAGTTCATTTTTACCTTGGATTCCCAACACTTTATCATCTGAACACTATCGTTATTATTTCTGTTACTAGCAACAAGAATTCAAGAATATTTTATTTTCTGGTTTATCTTCATATTTATTTCCAAACTATTCTTACTTCATCAAAGCATCATTACCAATCCTCGGCCTTGCTTTTCCTAATCAGGATACACGTTTTTCACCCCATATTTCATCATTCTACAAGCAGCTATTGCAAAGAGCAGAAACGATGCTCCATAGCTAATCACAGAAATTCTCACTTTAACTATGCTCTTTCACTTTTTTGCGCTACCCAAAATTGTCTCTTTCCCTTCCAAGTTATTCATGAGAAAACCGTTAATATTATCGCAATCACTACAACTTAATCCTTATCGCTTGTGTCATTCTCACTCCTTTTCGTTGTCAACATCAATTTCCGTAAATCATATTCTTTATTACCGCCACCGCCTGTGAAGTTGAACCTCAACTGAACTTTGTAACATTCCAACAAAAAACGACGATTCCAGTCAAGTTTTAGAAGTATATATTATAAAGACGTTTTGAGCTCATTTGTGAGGTTCTTTTCAGTTTCTGAAAAGGCAGTGTTTAAAAACAATACTTTAAACAGACAAACTACCATCCATCTAATTTCAATCAGTATGGTGCACAAATTATTGAAACTATGCCAAACATCGGTAAGGCAAAAGCGGATAACACGTCGAAACGTCTTTAAAATATACACTTCCAAAACTAGACTGGAATCGAATTTTATTGGAATGTTGGTTTTATCCAGTGATCCCTAAACTATTTGAACGTTGTAATTTCATCTAAAATATAAATAATTTCCTTCACCATTCGCCTCGTAGACATTACCTTCACTGTACCGTCGTTGCCACATTAAATGCATTGGCCTCCTTCGTCCAACCTTATTTCCATCTGTCTCCGCCGCGGACGCCACCTTCGCAATCTGAGTCGCCTGCCGCGGGGCGGTGCCTGGCCGCCCCTCGCAGAGCGCGCATTACGAGGAGGCGCGGACGCCACATTGGCGCGCGCGAGCGTCGCCGGCGGCGGTGGCGGCGCTCGGCAGGTGGTTTCGGGTGGGCGACCGCGGTAAACACTCTTTTCGACGCGTTATGCAGCGTTTATTGGGTCTGGCGCCGATTTACTCCCAACGAACATCCGCATAACGGGCTGACGAACAGGATAAGAAGGCGCGGCGGCGGGGGCGGCGGCGGCGGCGGCGACAGGCAAATCGCCCGCGGAGCAGTCACTAGACGCGGGCCGCTGCCCTGGCGCCGGTCGCATCACTCAAGGCGGAGTTCACCTGTCCGCTGCCCGGATAATGTCAGACGCTCCGAATGAGCTATCTGGAACGCTCTGAGCTCGATAAAAATGGGACTAAATGTATAAGATTAGCCAGGAGGGATATCGCACGAGTTTCTCCCTTTGAGATGAGCGTCTAATAACAGTTGTTTGGGAAGACGTTGTCCTCCAAATTCCAGTGAGCGAAATGCTTGAGAAGAACGTCCGTAGGTTCCCTCCCACGTAAATAAGCGTGATTTCCTTCGCATCAGTCGTCGTACTGGCGAATCATCAATGTGAAATTTGTCTTCATCACTTTATTCGCTTTACTTCCTACCATAGTTTTGCTACACCTGTAATCGCCGAAACCTTCTCACGTATTTTGTATTAAAATTTGATATTTAATGACCATCATCTACGAGTACTCAGCGAGTGCCATTAGTAGTTTTTACGATAAAAAAAATCGTCACAACCTCGGCTAAAAGGGCATGGAAAACACAGTTCTTAGAATGTATCTGATCAAATCAAGAGGTAATGTAAAGGAGTCATTCCATACAATTCCCTCAGCGACAAAACCACAAGGAATATAACTCATGTAATGAATATGCATCATGTTTGGTGAACCCACGTCAGAGACGTCATGCTGCTTGAGTTAATTACGCAGTGGCAAACTTGAAGGTCGGGAAGCTCGCACGCTACAGCACACGGAATGAAACATATGCATGCTACAAAGGAAGTACCATTTCCACATTAGAAATATCTATTTGCATTATTTCTAGTATAAAAGAGTATATATGTGCTTTTAAGAAAGCATCTTCATTTTATTCTATTGACACAAAAAGATTACAATATGTAAATACAAAGGACAGCTTGACTTTGGCTTCACTTTTCTTTTCAATGGAACAATACAAGAAACAAGTTTCACTTCAAAATCTTTAGCCACAAAGATTTTCTCTACCTTTAATATTGAAAATACTCATTGCAGTAGGCGCAGTATGTGTGTGAGTGTGTTGTGCGTGTGTGTGTGTGTGTGTGTGTGTGTGTGTGTGTGTGTGTTGTGCGTGTGTGTGTGTGTGTGTGCGTGCGAACGCGTAAGCGAATTCCAACCACCTCAGTGATTTCGTAGTCATCATCAACATTCACATGGGCGTGGATCGCGCAAAAGAACACACCCGACACTTTCTGAATCAAGGATCTACGGTTGAAAGTGCAGGCAGGTTTCCGTAACTCCAAAAATATATATAATCCTACAACTTTCTATAACCACTGCCGGGTGGCCCAACTCCGATGTTCCTGCATCTCGCACATCCAGCCTCGGCAGCGCAAGAAATAACCCTTCGCAGAACACCATAGAGTCTCTCTTCGTCGGTGCCATCGTCAGCTACATTGCCGCGAACCGCGCTAAAGGAGAGACCGGCACTAATTACCGGATCGAGGACGACTGCGGGGGCGAACGGTCGGAAACGCAGGCGAGGCGGGGAGAGGAGAGGACGGGGCGAGGACCCGGGCGGCCGGTCGATGGGCGGGCAATCAGGCGGCGGCGGCGCGGACAATATGAGCGCCGCATTGGCCGCGTCCCTCGAGACGGAGCTGCGCCGCGCGGTGATTTGTGGCCGGGGATCGGATTACTCGACCTTTCCCGCGCGCCCGCCGCGCCGCAGACGGCGAAGGAGGCGTGCGCGGGGGCGAGCGCGGGGGCGAGGGTGATGACGGCGAGCTACTGGCAGTCCGCCCGCGCGGCGCCTCCGCGGAACGCCTCCGCATACCCCGACGACATCACCGTCTCTCAAACCTCCCTCGCTGGAGCCCCGTTCCGGTATGGACTTCGTCATCGCCTTCGTCACTCTGCCGCGTCCGCCGCATACACAATGCAAGATGTCGGTTCTAAACGACTTGTTGAGCTGTATTAATTCAGTCGTGTTTTCCCCAGCGTCTCTCTTTTCTCATCCTCAACACCTGCTCCGTTGCTACAGATATTCACCCTCTTCTTCAAAGTCCTCCTCTATGTCTCCTTCGATGTCCTCCTCTATAACCTTTGTTTTTAAGCGCCATTCCTATCGCCATAACGTCGATACTCCATATCCACCGCTTTCGTGGTTCCAATCACACTGCCTTCATTTCTTCATTCCTCGCGTACTACATCTCTATCTGCTACCGTTACTAGGCGCATCTACCCTCAACTCAAGTCAACTCCACCCCCCTCGTCTTCGGAGCCTTCCGTCTCCACCTCCAGCTGTACCTTCACCGTCGCCGATGACGTTGTCGCGCCCCAGCCGATTCAATTTGTTCCTGGGATTAGGCGACCACCCCGCCCCGCGCCCTGCGCCCCGCGCCCTATGCCGAGCGCCCCGGGCACAGTGCCACGAGAGGCCGCCGCGCCCCCGCTGGGCCTTCTCGGGGGGCGCACCGCACCGCCGCGCCGCCTCGTCAACACCGCCCTCGGCCGGCGCGGTGACGAAGTCCAGGCCAGACCACCCTGCCAGGCCAGCGGCAAAACATTTGCCCTCTTGATGCAGTTTATGTTTGCCATAAAATTTGCTGCATTAGCTCCACTAGCCCACTGCAGAGGAATGTTTAAAATCTCGAGGAATCCAACGAGTTCGGATTTTAGGTTTTAGTGTTGAAACATCTCTAGTAAATCACTAAATACTTTTGTCATGTGTCATTGGAAACGGTTTTTGTAGAAAATAATACACTGGTCTATGTCGTTTCTTCATGTCACATTTACAATCCTTTTGCGTAATTTTATGAAAATGGTGCATAAGCAAAAAAGAAAAATGATAATTCTATAAAATATCCCATGGTATTTTATTACTTATATTTCCAGTTGCATGCAAACCATTCAAATATGAAGAGGACTGAAAGCAACAGAAATTATATTGATAAACTAAAATCACAAGCTTCTCTTAGATTTGTTTCCTATAAGGTTTGATAACAAAAATTACAATATAAAATAATATCATGAAAGCCAGATTAGATTAATTTTATCTGAAAGATCTACAGTCTTAAATTAATACTTATATAATATGACCGTTTTCCTTACATTACACATTATCCTCATAACACGTCATAAACATTGAAATTCTAATTAACTTCAAATCTGAATCTTTAAAAACCCCTTGGCGAGAAGCAAAACCAACCAACCAAAGATGAAAAACTTCCGTCAACAATCGCCAGAACCGCGTTTCAAAAACCGAAACCCACATAGCTTTCGTGAAATGGGACCCAGCGCTCGGCCCGCTCCGTCGGAAAGGAGCCGCTGGCGGACCGAGCCTGCCTGGCACGGGCGGGTGCACCGGGGCGCAGAAAAAGCGCCATAAAGATCGAGGGTCGCTCCAGTTTTTGTGGAGGAGCGGGTCACAGGGTGCAGGAGCGGAAAATATGGCCAAGAGGTTATCGCTGCTACCCCCGCGAGGTATGCCTCGGCAGTCGCGGCCACCGCCACCGCCCCCGGGACCGCAAGCCTTCTCGGATCCCGGCGGGTGGAATTTGGGAAATTTTTTTTGGAAGCCGTGCGGGAAC